AAATTCACATTGGTGTTCCTGTACAGGGCTATGGATATAAATTCACATAGGTGTCCCTGTACAAGGCTATGGATATAAATTCACATAGGCGTCCCTGTACAAGGCTATGATAGAAATTCACATAGGTGTCCCTGTACAAGGCTATGATATAAATTCACATTGGTGTCTCTGTACAAGGCTATGGATATAAATTCACATAGGTTTCCCTGTACAAGGCTATGGATATAAATTCACATAGGTGTCCCTGTACAAGGCTATGATATAAATTCACATAGGTGTCCCTGTACAAGGCTATGATATAAATTCACATAGGTGTCCCTGTACAAGGCTATGGATATAAATTCACATAGGTGTCCCTGTACAAGGCTATGATATAAATTCACATAGGCGTCCCTGTACAAGGCTATGATATAAATTCACATAGGTGTCCCTGTACAAGGCTATGATATAAATGAACTTACCAATTTTGTCTACTTTCAGTGAAATCAAACCATCGTCCACAAATATTCGTCCACCAACTTTAATTACTTTACCAATATTCTTATAATCAATAAATATTAAATTCTCATCACATTCAGTTCTGTCTTTTTCATCCAATGAAAGACGAACCTTGTGATCTTTAAGCAATTCAATTTCAGCACTGCCACCCTTCAAAGACAAAAACAAAATCAGCATTACCAGGTACATACAAGTGTCAACTACAAGAATGATTCATAAAATTATTGACAGAGGCAACCCAAACTTAGCCTCATCTCAAGTTTTCAAGGGCCTATAGCTTGTGTTCACTAAAATTCATGAGATGTAATGAATACTTCAGAAAGTCCGTTTTAGCTGATTATTTTACAGTTGTTTGGAAAAAATGCATTTGAGTGGATTGAATGCGAAGTATAACAATAACATTTTTATTACAACACAACTGTTGAGGAATTTTGGGAAGTGTTTGGTACATGTGAAATGTACTTTTCTTTCATCCTTTTTATTTAGTAACTATAGCTTAAATGTATACAG